TTTCATTGTTATAATTTTTAAATAGGTATTCATTAAATCATATTGATTAGATTCTTAATCAGTACTGGTAAGTAATGAGCTATTAGTTATGGTGTGTAATTCCTTGTCCCAGATACTTATGTAGATGGGGTTTCGTCCATTGTACAACAAACCACAGAATGTAAATTATGTATAGTTGTGTTTCCGTGTTATAGATATATTCCCGAGTGAGTACTCGAGTATCGCTCGGAAAAAAACCAACGAGTACTCGATTAGTAATTGTTCACCGAGTTGACACCCCTAGTTGCTACTGTATGATCTGTATAGTAGACAAAACCATCGATGGTTCCAGACATATCCTACCACTTGCTGTTCCCAGTCGACCAAATTTCATGACTTGCTCCCAAACTACATTTTTATGTCGGTAAAGATGGACTCGCCTACAGTAGCGAGCCTGTATATATATTTATATATAGAGAGTCATATTTAAAGTATATTGGCAGCTTCTTACGGTTAAAGGAGCCAATTTTTTTAAATTCCTAGTAGCTTTTGAACTACTCTTGTTCGCCGTACCAGAATATGACTTATTTTACCCTTTAATAGTACGATGCATCACCATATAGAGTTATTTCACAAAATATCAGGCAGTTGCTATTATGGAAGACATGTACGTTTATCTCCTAGGTTTTGTCAATCGCGATAGAACATGTCTGTAATACTTTTAGGAAATTTCAACTTTAAACATAATTTAAAGATTAGTATATATGCAAAAGATTAGTATGTATGCAAATGTACTGTATTGGTGTAGGGTCCACTTTCTTGTGATGTATAAATGAATTTTAAAGGTAAAATACATGGAATTGGACAACGGTAATTCTTTACTTGCAAAGAAAGATTCCTTTTACCAACGAAGAAACCCAGTAAATTTGCATATAGGGTAGCAGAATAGAACAACTCCTATTTATAGGCAACAGAATAGAACAACTCATATTTATATAGGCAACAAAATAGAACAACTCCTATTTATAAAATGTATATCTGACACCTAAAAACCATCTAACGATCAAGATTTGTTGTCTAGTTTCTAAAAGTACGACAGAGTTTGTTTAAGACCAACATTTCATTTCTAGGGGAACACTATTAAAAATGCATTGGTCTAGTTTTTCCCAAGGGAAGAAAGTTTTAATCGTTTTTTTTTCATCAGCACAATCAGCTCCAGAGGCGGATTTAGGTGGGGGGAGGGGGCTTTGTGGGAAAAATTTGGTTGATTATATAGGGAATCACTGAAGCATGACTGGAGCGGCCCCCTCTTAGGCAGTCAGTGGGCCCCCTCTTATGAAAATGTCTGGATCCGCCACTGAGCTCAATTTTTATAGCTGGTGGGGTTTCTGATTTTTTTATGGACGTTATTGTTCTAGAATAGAATCTAATAGAATAAAATAGAATTCTTCGGTTGTATTGTCAGCAATCATAATATGGTAACGTATGCCTTATCTTATTTCATGTTCCTGTGAATAGTAGTACATATTGGGAGTCACATCCAATAGTTGTTCATGCTATATTGAAATAGGATCATCCCTTGATCTAAAATTCCAAATCAAATGTGTTATTTCGTCTTTCTGTCTTTTCGTCTTCTTCACAGTGTTGTGCCTAAGATAAGAGAGTATGGTTGCAAGACGATTGTTATTGCTCCGGCTTGTCCAAGACAATCTTGGTTTCTAGATCTTCTGGTCTTGCGCGCGGCAGTTTTGTCTTTCCTTGAGATATCTCTTGGGAATGGATCCTCTTTCTTAAGTCAATGAATTTTTTGTCTTTGTAGATCAACAAGATGTCTTTTGTCTCTTTGAATTTTAGTTTAGTTATAAAAGCACAACAGTGTTCTTTTTGTGAACCAGGGCTTGTATTTTCTATCATGATTTCCTTGATAGAGAGTTGCTGCTCACCAGGAAGCTATTAAACCAAGAGTTCCAAGTGGTGAAGTTGAAATGGTCCCTTCGAAAATTTTACGGACGCCATCACGAGTTGGTTGACCGTTATGGAATATCCGTTTCAAAGATGACAACGGATATGTTCCAATTGTCGTAACTACAATCCCGTCCCCCTTTCCCCGAATGTTACCTACCGAATTATACTTATCACCGGGTTTGTACTAACATGAGCAACACGACGGATGCCACATATGGATCAGGATCTGCTTACCCTACCGGAGCACCCGAGATCACCCCTAGTTTTTGGTGGGGTTCGTGTTGCACAGTCTTTAGTTGTGTACTGTTGTTTGTTTGTCTTTTTCTTTTTAGCCATGGCGTTGTCAGTTTATTTTCGACTTTTGAGTTTGAATGTCCCTTTGGTATCCTTCGCCTTCCTTTTTGAATATATTTTTCCACGTTATTTTATTTTCATATACTAGCAATGGGTCGTTGCATTTACTATGCCTGTACCAATTCAGGAATATGACAGTTGTTTTCCATTCGTTTGATGTGTTTGAGCTTTTGATTTTGCCATTTGATAAGGAACTTTCCTTGGAGTTCGGTATTTTTGTTGTTTTACTTTTTACTAGCACTGAGTCGATACCACTTCTGGAAGATTGTTAATCCCCAAAGGTGTTAGAAGAGCAGTATGCGGTGTTTCGGTACTGACATGATTGTATACAAGTTGAGAAGCTAAGGTTCCAACTCTTTCAGGCAAAATTGATCTTTGATGAATTTTGCTATTCTTTTTATGACTGTTTTGGACAATATCTCCTAACGTTGCTACGTATCTATACATGCCTGTCTTTTAAATGTTAAGGTCTGAGCGTTTCCTTCCTAATGGGGGTAAATCCATAAAAGCGTTTCGGACGCATGCAATTGGTGAAGTGTTATTTTCATGGAAATGATTAATGTTTTCTTAACGCTTTGGCTACATAATCTAAAGATTTAAGACTGCTAAATATATATCGCTAGTGAGTTGAGACACCGAAAAATCGTATCGGTTAACCAATTCATAATTGTTTATACAGTGTGAAAATGCACGTGTGTAACGTATCAACTGAGATGTGTGAACGCCATGCGATGGAATAGAAAGTTTGAAATTGGAAAATAGAAAATAGAAAATAGAAAATAGAAATCATCAATTTTGTCATAAAATCTTGTTTGAAGTCGTCCATATGTGTCAATATCGAGGACAACATCAAGGTACAATGTATGAATAAACTCATCATAGATACAAGGATTTAAAGATGAAGCAGACCTACTGCTTTCGGTAGTATCCTTAATTTCAAGTACACTTGGATATATAAGATGTTAGCACTCATTAAAATGTGGGTTTCTGAGTGACAGAACATAATCAATATATCTGAAAACGAAATTAAAGAACTTTGCAAAATGTTTTCCTTCTGGTCTTTGAGAAGGTTTTGTATGAATTCTATTTCATAAGCGTAAAAAAGCTAGTCGGCCAGTAGTGGTGCACAATTAGTACCCATTGGAATACCGACTGTTTGCTGAAATATCATTCCACCACCCTCAACAAATGTGTTGTCGATAAAAAAAGTCCTGCATTTTGATGATTTTATCATCGGTGTGTTTGTTGTTGCAATCATTATGTTATTCGACTTAAATTCGTGACAAAAAATAATTTTAAACGGACAAATTCCATTAATGAAATGAAGAAAGCAACCTGTTGAAAGATATTTCCAGCGAAATGTTCAACAATATTTTTCACCTATATTGAGTTTCCACAAGTTCAAACTGTTTGTTTATATACTTTATTATTGTTGTTTTTTTGTGTGTATAAAATAGTGTCTTATATTTCAATATGCTTCTTGTGAGCCCATCACTGTTTAATGGAAATAAAACATCTTCTTCTATATTAGAACATAACATGTAGTCAAATGCAACCCGGAATCTCGATGAACCTAGAGACAAGCTCGAATTACAACATTTGTAATGAAGTATACTCGGAAGCATCTTGTGCTTTTTTAAACACTGAATTACATTTACATTTTACATTTTGGTTTCAACATGAGTCAGTTAGTACTGCTGGTAACATTAACGTAACGGAAGATGTTACTAATTAGTAACACTATTTATCCACATTTTCTGATTAATTATTATTCTATTTTTCATAAATCTCTTTAAAATCACGATAGATTTCAATCTTATAAATTATTTAAGAATATTTTTAGTGAAGCTCTTAGATTAGCAGATGCTTTACTTTAACATGCAGGTGCAACTAGACATCTTGAAGATGGTAATAGTATATAATGAATTAATAGCAATTTGTACATGATTTGTTTCATGGGCACATCAATTAGCAAAAGATCGATGACTTTTTTGTGTTTTCTGTTACGAGTTGATATGGAGAATCAAGTCATTTGCAAAATTGACTTTCAATAATTCATTAGATCTAAATGCTTCATAACTGAAAAAAGAACTACGCTGTCAAAAATTCTCGGAACAGTATTGTTCGACTGTTGACTGAGTATTACAGGACAGGGTATTGTCATAAATAGGTTAATCTCAGAATGGTAAAATGTTCTGAATTTTAATAACTAAACCGATAAAACCGTGTGTCTAAATACATGATTATCTGATGGCTATATATAATTGACGTTCAGGGCCCTCGGTCATAAAACTTTATTCAGTACTCGGAGTACAAAATATGTGCTCGAAACATCAAATCCAGTATTTCGATTGGTTGATTTCTGAGTCCGAGTACAAAAATCGTGCTCGAAAGTTTTATGACCGCAAGGCCAGAGGCAAATGTAACATTCATATTCAAGACGTCAATAAAATGTTAACATGATATGAATATACGCTGCTAAGTCGCATTTTCTTTAACGTGCTAGCTAATATGGCCCCTACACTTTAACATCAAGTTGACCCCGATTTCCTTTTGTTTTCCTTATTGTCGCGTGCTTGGCCGAGAAGCAGCAAATGCCAGTTCTAATGTAGTTGGTTGAATCGACTGGAGTATAAATGGTATTACCGATTGCATAGATATAAGCGCTCTATCATAATTTTTTCATGTAAATGTGTACTCACCACTTCTTTGGGATGTGAATCCTTTACAGCACAATAATAAAATAAAGAAATCTGAAATTGATAAAAACATAAAAATAAAAATAATAATATGAATATCTTTTTACTGCACGTTTTATGCACCTTTGTTACTGAAATGATGAATATTGAAAAGAATAAGATTCAAATCTGAAATACAAGCGCCTGTCATTATTGGTGAAAGTTTTGATCGAAAGCCTTGTGAATTTATTCTTTGTCACATTTCTATTGTTTGTTATTAAAACACCCTTCAATTGATCAATAAAATTACATCCTCTTCCTTTGGTCTCTCAGGGTGGACTCGATAACATTGACAATTGTGCAATATCTCCTTTATTATAAGATAATTATAGATTATCGTTGGTCATCTCAACGAGATTGATTTTCTCGCTTGAGCCGGTACGGCGAAAGTGAGAAAAGCAATCGAGTTGAGATGACCAATAATAATTGTTCATCACTATTTTACCTATGACGACGTTGTTACTTTTATTGACAACGGCACGTGCGCCCTTAGTTATTAGCGATATTTTTTTATATCACTCTACTGTGCTGAGAAAGGAAATTATCAGTCAGTAAGATCAAAGGAAAATTTCGTAAAATAGCGATAAACAACTTTACTTATGTTATGACTGTGGTTTAAAAGCTGCAATAGATAAAGTTATAGAAAATTTAAAGTCCATGTTCTGCGATGTGACCCATCCTCTAAGCCTATTTTTGTTTCATTTGATCTATTGGATTTTCGCGCCAGTGTAAACTATATAAAGGGAGACAACTCTTGTGATATAATAAACTTTATAAATCAAATTAAATCAAATATTTTATTGTCGTATACACTTTACAGTTTGTGACCAACATATATTAACACAATAAACATATATACATACATATCAAACAAACACAATAAAAAACAGCATCAAAATTTACAAAAACAAACAAGCTATTAAGAGTCCCCTGCCCTCACATTCTAATGACTTTTTCAAGAAGGATCCTAACTTATTTGTTTGTAAAGGCGTTGATGGATTTAGTAAATAATGATTTTTTTCTTCTTCATTTAAATTATTAAAGTTATTATTTTCAGTACACATGTGTTCAAAAAAGGCATTTCTTAGTGTTTTATTATAATCACAATAGAGTAGAAAATGTTTCTCATCCTCTAGTATTTTACATAGTATATCATAGGATTTAAGAAAGAAACACATGGAACCAAAACACAGTTACATGTAGGATCGATAAAAGCTTATTTTTGTTATTTTGGCTTTGAAATTATATACTTTTTATTTGACAAAGACATACATTTAAAGCATATAAACTTGTGTTGCAGAAATACATGAATTCAAAAAATTATAAGAACATTTGAATTTTCAAGGTGTGGTTGACACGAAAGGGCAGAAGATCAAAACATTGGATGACATTTAGGATAAACTTTTGTTGGATTAATGTTTTTTCGTAACATGAAAGGTTGGAGGTTGTACTTCGTTTGTATGTAATACTGTTATCGGCGATATTCGTACCATGTGTTGCGTTATAATCAGCTAGATCAAGGGTCACTCTGTTCACAATACATATGGTTTTCATCTTTTCATCTATCAGGGAATAATTTGCAATTCTTAACGGAAGATATGATTGTAGAATTCCTGTATCTTGAAAATATGATACTGAGAAGTCACTCACTAAGGATTTATAGGGTGGTCAGGGTAAATGTTATCAGTGTTATGACAAAATCTGCCACTTTATATAATAGTTTCTGGAGTGGAAATTTGATTTTGATCAGAGTTTTTTTTTATCATTCTACAAGCATTCGATACACATTTGAGTATCAGTCCTGACTACGTCTTATGTATTAAAAACATAGTTTACATGATTCCTATACAAAAAACGGAAAGACACATTAACGCTGGAAGAAGATATTGTCAGTTGCGAACTGGAGTTTTGAGTTGGGTTTCATATTTGCAGTAGGTAAGAGGAAAATCAAGTGTTTGTAAATTTCAGAAAGGATACAACTACTTTAAATATATGCAGAATATCATATCATTTCATATATTACTCCACCTTTATTTATGTGCCTACCTTAATCACTCTAACAGGAGAGATCTGCTGTTTCAATTCAGTTTAGCGAGAGTCATTATATTGAGATTGTTTGAAAAGCATAGAAGCTTAAAGATAAGTTTCTTTTTCTGCGCCATTTTTATTCCAGTGATATACATTGTAAAACAATCAAGTAGCAGGAGGTATTAATGTATAGGGCTCATTTATCCGGGTATATCATTTTTTACCTCGCTTTAAAAAAAAAGTATGCAGCAGCGAATCATATGCATCGTTCAAGTTGAAGTGTTCTTCCAAACCGAATTCCATTCTCTTTTGTTAAATTATTGTACTTAAAGAATTTTCGGTATAAAAATAAGGTGATGTGGTATGCTTGCAAATGAGACAACTATCCACCAAGTTCAAATAAAGTGGATGTAACGGCAATTATAGGCAATTGTACGGACTTCAACAATGAGAAAAACCCCATACCGTATAGTGCCTATAGTCGGCTATAAAAGGCCCCGACATGAAAAATATGAAACTATTCAAAAATTAACGGCCTAATTTAAAACAAAGCAATTTACGAAAAACAAATATGACAGACATGAACCAACGACAACCACTGAACTACAGGCTCCTGACTTGGGACAGGCACATAAAGAATGTGGCGGGGTTAAACATGTTTGTGAGCGCTCAACCTTCCCTTAACCTGGGACAGTGGTGTTACAGCACAACATAAGAACAAACTATAAAAATCAGTTGGAAAGGGCTTAACTCATCAGATCGATACAAAGCAGAAAAAAAACATCTTACAAAAACACAGACCGGACGTTGTAGGGTATTAAACATCCCTAACAACAAAAAACACAAAGTACAGATCTGAGAGTACTCGCAGTTACTGACAGATAGTTCAGAGCCAATAATAACTATAAAAAATCATGTATCTAATTAGCCTATTAACTATATGTGCATCTCGTATACCTCCCTTAGACCACTGAATCGCCATTGATTTCCCCCCTGCAACTATTCCATAAGATTTAAAATGGTTGGTTAGTCTTTAGATCATATAGTACGCATAAAATGTATTAAGTGTTATTTTCATTGGTTAATACAGTTATTTTCTTATCCTTACTTATCTATTACTCAATTATTTTTTTAAACTGTAGAAAAGTTTGAATGTTAAGTTTTCCATTTCTACGTAATATTAACAAGTAATGAACGTTAAAAACGAAGTCCCCATAAATATATTTCCCTGGGGACTCATCCCGTATATCATTCTATATCACTTACTGTTGTCAAGTTATAATCATTTGAGCATGACAATAAAAAAATGTCCATTGGGTTCTTTTGTAACCAAACCCTTCTTTTGGCCCTAAACGTACCCCTTAATAAACCTCCATGCACATCCTAAATATGTTATGCACAACTGCAGTTTAATTCTACCATATTGTTACAATGTAGAACTTCAAGTTCATCTGAGCATAGAAGTATAAACCCAAGCTAGGTTTATACATCTATGATCTGAGTGACAAGCGGTTTTTGCGAGCTGCTGCTGAACGAGTTCAGGTGTGGGAAACTGGAAAAAGAGGATGAATAATACTGAGCAAAAACATCGTTTGTGAGACTTGATTGATTATGTCTTATACCATGGAAGTATTATATATACAGTATAATACTTTCATGATTATTCTAATATTTGTTCAGCTTCAATGCAAGAAAGAGCAAACGAGGACCAAAATGTTCACTGACAAGAGTTGTGTTACTGTTTCAATAGTAAAATGCCAAAATGTGTTTATCGGTGCTTCATATTAATACATCACTGCCAGATAGTATCATACTCTTAACAGGTAGCTGAGAAGAAATAACAATAAACCGACGGAAGAACTTAAGGTTGATGCTATTTTTTTTTTTCTGGTGAAGTTTTGGTTATGTTGCCAGCTTTTTTCTCTCTGGTGTGATTAGTACACTAAGATATGCGTGTCACTCTATATAACATGTATCATTTTTATGAGTATTGTGCACGTGTTAGCAGATAGCAAATGCCCAAAAGTTATTTAGTACTTAATAGTTTTAAACTTATATCAAGACTTTATACTGCCCTTTTTGTCGTTTATTTTAACTCTTTAATTACTTGAAAGGGTTTCAGAGTATTAAGATATCTAGAAGTTTCCGAACTAACTACATTTCGCAACATACAGATAATTATGTAAATGAAAATTTGTTAAAACTGAGTTATTATACTCTTTATATATTATATAATAAATATAATACTAGTATATCTTTCTCTCTCTCTGCGTATATGTGAGTGTATGTGTGTCTTGTCTATTCTCTGCGTATATGTGAGTGCATGTGTGTCTTGTCTATAATGTGTGTGGTCGTGTTTTCTCTATTTTTATCGCTTCTCTCTCCCTTCATCCTCTTCACCTCTGTCGGAGTGTAATAATGTGAAATCATTTGTATTATTGTATTTCGTGGATTGAGGAATAATAAATGACCATGCAATGGCCCCCAAGACTGTTAATATGTCTGTCGTCTCCAAATCCAAATGATATTAAACATAGTTTATCGGTATGATGGGGCGTGTAAAGGATAACGTGTAATATAAGACGAATAATTGTCAATTAAAACTGATAATTAATGTGTCAACCCTTAATTAGCTTTTGTTATCATCGGTTTTAAGTAGTGCTATCATTGTTTTCAAACCGTCTTATCACTTGATTTATTTTGTTTTTGAAGTGGGTAATTTTGCTATTTTGATAGAAGATAGCCCACCAATTACCATCATAATCATGCAGTGATAACTTAGAACGATAGACAGGTTGTTAACTCTTCAAAAGTCAGCGTATTCAATAGGTTTCTGTTTATCGTGCACTAAGTCCGTTGATCTTATTTGTGTTAGGTTACATTGAAGAAGCGTCAATTAAGGGTATCGATGGTTTATACTTCTGTTCGTATTGTGACACTGAGTTTTGCGTATTCTCTCTGTAGTAGCTTCTGCCTCTCATTTAGCAAT